CATCTGACTATGGGTTGAGCAATACGTTAGTTTTGACCTAGTTTGAGCTTCATTCGTTAAGTAGGAACAAGACGATGCTTCATTTGAGCATCGTCACTAAACAAGCCGCCCTCGTTTTGACATTGTTTTTCGTTATTATTGTTACTAGGTAGGTTGTTATCATACACAGCATTAACGAGGACCTGCTTCCAAAACAAGGCAGAAACGCTCCAGCTATTTTTGGGACGTGGTAAAAACTAACCGACACCTGGTAACTGTCATCTGACGAACACAAAACAAGCCAGGGGCTCGCACCGTGTGTCAAAAGTAGGATGCAAAACTAGTCTGTACCCCCGACATTTAGCGTTGAGAATCATTTGACGAGGGGCTAGTCAATATTTTTTACAGTGCGTACCTCGTGCGCGGCGTAGATCGGTGCTAGGGTGTATCGTGTTATTTTAGAGTGTATGTATCGTGTAACTGTATCTATGTAGTGTGAATGGAGTATTAAATTCTCATTAGACCAACCCCTAAATAGGGACCACAACTAAGCTATCAAAACGATTAATAGCAGGCGCAATGACCAGGGCCGGCTATGGCCTCTATAACCCCACATATAATGTTTAATCGCACCTACCGTGCAGAATTGCTGAGATATTTGCGCAGGATGGAAAGTCAAACAAAAACTGGATCGCTTTTTGCTCGTTTGACGTAGAAGCAAGTGCGGAACAGCTACACTGCGCACATTGCACAATCGGAACTCAGAATGCGAGTTGAAAACGAGAAAACGACAAGAAATAAGTCTGGCCTGGGAGCCATCAGTACACCGTTCAACACAGTTGTCATATACAGTGCATCAGTTAGCAGCGGCATCCAGCAACGCCACGAAATGTCTCTGAGGACATCCGCGTCTGTGACGTTGGGAGCTTGTCAGAGAGATGATGAAACATTGTCCGCGTGGCTTTCTTTGCTGATACGGTAACTGTAAACAGCAGGGCATATTTTAAGGATTTTTTACTGCGTCCCAAAGGTGGCATAGGGCACATGCTTCGATCGGAAAGGGCACATACCTTATCCAACTGCATCTCTGCATCTGCTTACTACCTACATCGACCAGTTACTGCAGCCGTTTTGGAGCGGCTCACGGCCGATAACACACCGGGCGTGCGCTAGCCGCCGTTGCTAAGCGCTAACCACTGAGTGCGCGTGGCCGACTGCCGTCCCGATGGCGCTGGCCCCCGACACCGGCGCGGCGCTGCTGACCCATAGAGGGGGGAGGGGGGCTGATAATTAGTTGAGCCGGAATTGGGATAGAAACCGGTATGGGATTGGGATAGAAGCTCAGCGAGACTAAGGGATTGTGTGGTGCCTTCGGTACGCCCCTCAAAATCACCCGTGTAGGGCCCTCAGGGCCGCCGGTTATGAAGCCTTTGGAGGCACTGGTGTGGGCCCTCACAGGTACCGGTGGGATGCTCTCAGAGGCATTGGTGCGGGCCCCCAGAGGTGCCGCTGTGGGCCCTCAGAGGCGCCGGTGAGGGTCCAGTCACAGTTGCCGTTGTGGCCCTCAGAGACACTGCAGTGTGGGGTTGTCACAGTCCGGTGTGGGACCCTTAGAGCTGCTGGCTCGAACCCTTTACAGGCCGACAGGGGCTCTCAGAGACCTACAAGGGGCGCTCAAGAGGTCTGCGGTGCCTTCGGGAGCCCTGAGGAGTCCTTAGAGACCAGCAAGGTACACTCAGACGCCAGTGGGGCCCTCAGAGTCGTCGGTGTGGGGCCCTCAAAAGTCACCGGTGAGTGGCCGTCCGATGCGGCTCCGGCGTTGAGCCCCCAGAGCCGCCGATATATGGTCTTAAGAAGCACTGGTTTCGGGACCTCATTCAGGGATGCCGGTTGCACTCAGAGGTGGCAGTGTTGGGCCCTCAGCTAGGCACCGGTGTGGGGCATTCACAGCCGCCGGTGAGGTCCCTCGCAGGCGCCGTTGTGGGGGCCTTCAACCACGCACTGGTTTAGGGGGTCATCGCAGGCGTGTGTGGAACCCTTAGAGCTGCTGGTCCCTGATAGGCCGGTAAGGGCCCTCAGAGGCCGGCAAGTAGCCCTCAGAGGTCGCCAATAGGCCCTGAGAAGCCGGCAAGGGGCACTCAAAGGCCGACAAGGGACAATAAAAAGCCGGTGTGGGGCTCTTATGGACAGAAGTGTGGCTCTTCGGAGCACATAAGGTGTTCTTCCGAGCCCTGTGGGGCCCTTCTGAGTCGAAAGATGCCAGCGTGGACCCTCAGCCGCCAATTGGCGTCGCAAGGCCCCTCTGGCCCGAGAGGCCCCCTGATCCGATGGGGGCACGTGCCCCTGCTTCCCCTCCCCCCGGGTGCAGATAGAGAATGCAATCGGCGGTGCGGAACACAACAATTGCAATCGTTCCTCCTCCCGTCGCGAGGTCGCCCATCCGACCCATATCCCATGATTGTCAACCCTGGGGCTCGGGTCGGCAATGTACCGGCAAGGAAATCAGCTTTAGGTGAGTAAAAAAGTTATTAAGAGTCATTACCTAGTTGTCGTTACGTTCGTCGTTCAGTAATAGCAACTATACGGTGCCAAATGTACCCGACGTACAGCTTGGAGCTGGGCGCCGCCCGGTCTCCACCAGTGAAGTCACGCTAATGCTTAGCGACCGGTCCATTGGAAATCGCGGGATGATTCTACCTCTCTTATACGGCCTTGGTTTCAATGGCCGGGGATCCCCGGAAGGGCGGGCGCCGATTCCGCCCGGGTCAGCCTAACATCCAGGCTCGCACGTTCGCCTCGGCTCCGACAGGTCCAGCACGGCGACTACGCGAATGTGAATCATGAATGGGTGGTGGGCGGCGGATGGTGCCACAGGGGAGGGGGAGCGGAGGGGATTAAAGGTGACACTTATGTTGCTTGTGATAACTCGCCTCGCCTCCCTGGGTTCCGCCCAGGTCCAGGGATGGATTATCTTCTCCAGCTTTAGCTAAAGTCTTACATTTGATTTTTTTTTTATCAATATCAGTATTATTGGATCTGAGGGCAGGGCAAGGAACAGGACTAGATATGCACAATTTTCCCGAAATCCGGGCCCAGCACCGAACCGGCAGCAGCACCGAAGGGGTCCTTAAGACGGGAAGACAACAAGGTATCGGGTTTGAGGGCACTGGGCAGGGCAGAGAGGGTCACAGGGCCTGAATGCAGAGCAGGGCGCAAGGCCTGAAGGAAGTGCAGGGCAAGGTACAAGACCTTAGGACAGGGCACTGGGCAGGTCACATATCCTAGGGGTATAGTAGGGCACGGGACATAACAAGGTGTACGACCCCAGGATAGGGCAGGGCACAAGGACTGGAGAGCGCATACATGTGCTTAGGTGCATAGTAAATCAGGGCACAAAGCAATCAGAAAGGCAACATCTGTTGCATAGTAAAAGACCGAGGCATGCTAATTATTATTGCTTGCACTTTTCCGCTGAAACCGTGACATTTCAGTGTGGGACGCAGTGGTCCAAATTTCGCGAGTGCTACGTCCCAAAGGCAGGGGGCTGCGTCCCGAAATGGGACGCAGTCAGTATGTTAAAATATGCCCTGGTAAACAGCCTGGGGAAAACACTATGACAGCGGTTGAGCATGAATTATTTCTCCAATGAATTTCGGCGAAAGAATAATTTCAAACAGTAGACGGTCATAATGTATGTAAAAAGGTTCTCAGAAATATTAACCTTGAACTACTAGAGATCTCCGCAGAACTGTGCATCACAACAGGTGGCTTAGATACCGGACTATGGACGCAAACACTTGGCTGATTGCACACATCTCCAAGAAGATGCGTTACGTCATGCGCCACACTGCAATGTCGAGCATGCTCAACCTGGGAGACCAACGAAACTAAGTGCGTTCTTTCCAAGAGCCGCGTGGGAGAGAAAAGTTGCATCATTTTCTTTTAAATCTAATGGGATAATCTAGAGCCCACAAAAATAATGATAAACACTAGCACTACCTGCATATCCAATCTTTCAAACTTAACAAGGTGAACAGGGAGGGAGAGGGGAGAGGGGGAGAGGGGGAATGAGAGAAAGGAGGATGAGATAAATAGGGAAGAGAGGAAAAGGGACGGCGAGAGAAGGGAGGTAGAGAGAGAGAGAGAGAGAGAGAGAGAGAGAGAGAGAGAGAGAGAGAGAGAGAGAGAGAGAGAGAGGGGAGGGAGGGAGGGAGGGAGGGAGGGAGAGAAGGCAAGAAGGGCGGATACGGCAGCCAGTAAGCTGCTGCTGGCGGAAAGCACAGCTGCAGCCGCAGCCGGAAGTAAAAACCGTTACGCATTCTCCGCTATCACTCCCCGAAATACTGCGCCGCAGAAAATCTGTCGCTGTTTCCGCTCTCTCTGTTCGGTGAAGTTTACGCTGATATCCTATAGTACCTAGCATTGACGATTCTTCTGCTGTGAATTAATAAGGTCATCGCAAGTTGTCCCCAAATTTAGCGTGGGTTTTGTGACTATTGGGTAGCTTCTTACTATCAGCACGGACAGAAACGTAGCCAGGATATTGATTGCCCAGGAGGGTTGGTCCCGCTCATGGAGGGGTTGGGGGTGGGGAGGGGAGGAGGCAAAGCACGCAGTTGTCATGAAGGTGTTGCTAAAGCCAATCGAGTCCCAAATTGTCTGCATAAGGGTACCAAAGGACAAGATGACGCGCTTGCGCTGCACATGACGAAGCTGAATAACGAGTAGGTAGGCATTAAAAGTATAATGTTGGGAGGCTGGGACAGACATTCTGAAATTCACAAATTTTGTAGTGCACATTGCTCAAAGACAAACAATGATCCACATCTTAACCAATGATACAAAAGTGCGATGCTGGATCCTCTCTCAGACCAACCACCAAAGCATTCAGCAATCAGCATCCATCCTCCCCGCAAGTGTCCCCAGCCAAACTTCCAGACATACCTACCTATTCCATAGCTATATCCCCACAGCTAAATCCCCGAGCTATACCCACACCCCTCCAGCAGGCACATCCTTACCTTTGGCCCACTGGGTGACGGTGTTGCCCAGGTAGACGGTCTTGAACGTGGGATCCTCCTCGGTGATGGTGATGGTGCGCTTCTTCCACAGCTTTGCCACCCGCGCCACCAGCGCGTGGGTCGTCATAGTCTTCAGCACGTGCGGCGCGACGCTCCGGCTCGATGGGGTACTGAGTTATGGAGTTCAGGTGGCGATGTTCTTTCGCGCAAGTGTGTGCAGTTGGCAACTTGTTTTGACAAAACTGCGGAGGATATCACTGTTTTATTGTTGAATCCGTTAATAGAGCTGAGCCAAGTAGTGCCAGGTCACGTAAGTTCAGGTAAGGTCACACCGGGTCAGTCCGTTCACTCTGGTCACTCCAGGTCACGCCAGGTCACGCCGGGCGGGCTCTGACGAGGCGCGGCGGTGAGTCGGTGCGGACGCTGTCGCAGCACGACCACCACTGTCGGGCATTGGCTCGCTCGGCGGCGGTCGGCGCTGAAGGAAGCGGCGCGCGCCTTATCTGCACGGTGGTCGGTGGTGAGCCGTGCTGGGTCGGTGGCAGACTCAGACCTGGCGACACACGCGACAGACAGTCGGTCAGATACGACAGCGGGCATCCGTCAGGGCATTCACACGACACAAATAGGAAAATAAGTGGCACACATTGTCTAGCCGTCTGACAACAAACAACAGTCAATGTGAAACAAGGACGTTATATTGGCATCGGGTTGAAAAGCTACTGGTGACAACTAATACTCATCAGGATGTGCAACGAAAACTAAACATGTTTCATATTTGATAGACCCTAAAGATCCTCATAACTTTAATGATGTTAAAAAATATTAACCCACGTGCGCATATCTCGATCCGCACACCTTTATATCAACATGTTCTTAGTTTCTAAAAAGGTAAATGATGAGTCCAGCGAGAACAAGACACACGGTACCGTCCCATATCGACGTGCAATGTGCAATGACGATGTCGCGGTTCACTCCAGTTCAGACAGAGTGGAAACAGCTACAACGATTTTGTGATAATTCAGGGTTCAGCACGAGTGAGCTGACGTTGAGGCGCATAGGCGCGGGAACTACTTTCAGACCGGGGGGGGGGGGGGCACACCATAATGGAGATGAACCTAGGGTACCCCCAAATCTAGTTTTCTCACCGGTTTTAGGCCACTTATTTTTCGTCCCTTGGCTTTTTCAACAAAAAAGAAAAACATTTGCAAAAAAGTGCAGTATTTCGTCTCAAAGTTGTGGGGGCACCGCCCCACGGCCCTAGAGTTGGGGGGGGGGAGAGGGGGGCAAGCTGCCCCCAACTGCCCCCCCGGCTCCCGCGCCTATGTTGAGGCGACGAGCTATAGCTATATGGTGCAGTGCAGAAGCTAACCAGGGGACTGGGGACTGTAATGATGGTGAAGTGGGATACACTGACTGTGTGCCCAACATAAAATACCTACTAAGAAAGTCGTCTGGAAAATGAAATAAGTCATCAAACGTGCGTGCTGATAATAGACGAAACAGGATGATGAAAACGCTTATCTCGCAGTTGCAAAGGTAATTATTAAAAGGAACGTTCAAGGAAGGTATTAACGAGCATCAAAGAAACAATGGGACCAAAAGAAACGGCAAACGGTAAGGACATTATTTCAGTGCATTTCGTTCAGCGCTTTCATGTTTTTTTTTCGATTATATACATTTATTACACTCAGATCATCTCATCACATTCACAGTCATCCGACATCATCCACTCCAATGATGCGCCACCAGTGGCTCATCAGTCGTTTCATCAGCTGCCTCAGCTGGCACGACGCGCAACGACAACTCCCCCCAACAGCTCACACGCGTCCCACTATCACTGCGCCGCTGCAATGGTTGCACTACACAGGTCAAGGCACACATGGCACCACCGCGGGACCGGTCTTTGCGGCACTGCTCCAACAGCGAACAGGCAACCAAACAAGTCAGAGTGAGCAAAACAGCGAGGCAAGGTCCGGGTGAAACGTTCAACACAAGATAAGGATAACAACACTGCAAAAAATACAAATTATTTAACAAAGCCCAGAGGTTTACATTTATCAATACAGAACAGTTTTTATATCAACTTTTAACAGCTATCAATGGCTATCAACCATCAATGACACCGGAGATGCAGCGAGCGACGCCGGCGGAAGACGCGCCGGCGGCGACTCGGCCAGCCCGGTCACCGGGGCGATCGAGGCGGCGGCGGCGTGACTGGAATCTCTACTATTTTCTACTTTGTTTTGCTCCTTTCACACATCACATGCAAGACAAAACAGCCGCTAGTCCCTTCCCGCGACCGGCGAGCTCGTGACCTTGGGGATCATCCGGGTGTTTGTGGCATGTTTGTTTTATAAATATGATGTGTATATTTATGCATACTGTATACTATGTATTTATTGTATGCATTTTATGTATGTATTTTTAAGTGTTTTTACGTATTTCTATTCCTCATGCAGATCAGCCTACATCATGCAATGATGCAAACTGATCTCACATGAGATGCAAATTGCATGAAGATACAATTTACATGCCCACAAATGCATGCAAATGCATGCACTTGCAGGCAAGAGTGCTGCAAGTGTGCAACTGTGTTATGGATTGACGTACAAAGATTTGTGTAAAAAAAAAAATATACGGCAGTTAATGTGCATCGTTTTGTACGACGATGCTTTTTAGTCTTCCCCACTTTTTCTCGAATTCTATTTGTTTGTTTATGCGATTAGCTGCTTGTTGTTCTATTTCTACAACAATTTTCAGTTTGTTTATTAGGTGTGTCACCTCTGGTGTGATATTTCGTAACCTTGCTTCATATATGACCATTTTTGCTAAAGCCAATATATGTGTCTGTTGTGGATTTGCATCGATTAGGAAGAACCAAGTTTTGCTGTTTATAGGGAGGCGTATTTCGTACGGATCTAAAATTCTGCGTTTGATATCTGCTATAAAGGACTTTACTTTATTACAATGCCAGAACATATGAACCAGTGTTTCCGGTTCTACTTTACAGAACGTGCAAGTATCTTCGTCTTTAATGTGTATAGTCTTAAGGTAGGTATTCGTTGCTACTATGCGATTTATGAGTTTATATTGAAACATTATCAGTTTTGCTGACTTTGTGACCTTTTTTAAGATTGCAAGGCTATTTTCCTCAAAACCCCCAATATCTCTGATCCACTTTGCTTTTTGGCGTTCATTAGCATTCCGTATTTCTAACTGCTTATGTTTTACATTTGCTTCGTACGCTTGACGTGAAAATTTTTCATTGTTTAACACCACGCACATTCTATGTGGCATTATCGGCCCAAGTGTTTTATTTATTTGTTGGTTTTTTATGTAATCAGGTAAGCTCCTGATTAAGCTCGAATAACATAAAAATGTCATCTTCACGTTGTAAGCATTTTCGAGGCTCTCTTTGGTATGTAAGGTCCCTGTATTTTCGTTAAACAAATCATTTATGAGCCGAATTCCTTTTTTGTACCAGCTACGTATTATTGAACATTGGAATTTCGTGTAATCTGAAAACCATATGTTTTCGAAAAGTACGTTAGCCTCATCAGGTACGTATACTCTGCTAAAGTTTGCAAAACTTTTTAGTACGTCGCTCCAAAACTTGTTTTCAACCTTCTTCATCAATTTCTCTAGTTGTTTACTGCCAAATTGAAGCACGTTTTCAATTGGTGGTAGTTCAATTTCGACTATACGTGACCATGATGCGTTTGATGCCATTATTCTTTTGAGCCATGTCAGCTTCATGCTGGCGCAGAAGGATTGGACATCTATCATGCGAAGACCACCTGCGGTAAAGTTTTGTATAAGTTTCGCGCGTTTTATTGGATCTCGTTTACCACCCCAAACAAATTCGAATAAGATTCTCTCAAGACTTTTAAATTCTTTTCTAGAGGGGTCAGGTAGGGCCATAAATAGATGAACTAATTTTGACATCAACAGGGACTTGACGACTGTTATTCGCCCTAACGTTGTAATGTTTCTTCTACGCCAATGTTGAATTTCTGTTTGAATCTGAGTGATTTTCGGTTCGAAATTGACCTGAGTAATGTTTTTGTTATTCTCATTGAACGTTATTCCTAATATTTTCAATTGGTCAACAAACTTGATTTGGCTGCAACCAACGTTGTTGAACTGCCTTGCGCAGCCAATCCGCAGACAACATGTGCTTTCATGTTGGACATTGGACAACCCTAGACGAAATTTCATGCGCAGAAAAATAAATCATGTCATCAGCCATCTTATCTCCTGTTCACATGGCATCGCCAGCTGGCTACAGGAACCTCAGCTGCTTGAGCAGAGAGATTCCGAGAGCCACTTCACAGCTCCTCAGCTTTGTTAGTTCAGCGATATCACCCCCTAGTCAGAATTGGTGGCTATCGTCACCGTAACAGCCAATACCGCGCAGGGCACTCGAAAATGTCTAATGTCGCCGTGAACTCGATCTCCCCACGCGACGTCGTACTAATGACGTGATGATAGCAGTGACATCAGATGTGACATCAGGTGCTGGTTAGAAGGAGACATCCTCGACAAACAGGATCGCCGGAGGTTAACGGTGGACGGCACGAACGTTTTGTGAAGTACGTGAACTGTGTGCCTGACTGCACTCATTGATATTATCGTTTTTTTGGGGGAGGGAGGGGCGGGGAGTATGCTGTTTCCCTTTCGGCGACAGGTAGGCATGCAACATGAACTTGAACTATCAAGTATTATCCATCTACCCAGACAAAACAATAACCCAATCCAATCAATATGTCAGATTGTCTCGAGTCCCCTTCACAGTTGCAGAACAGGATGCGTATCAGGAGACACTATAGTTCGGAAAACATCGCAAAGAATGATGAACAACAAGATGAACAACTATCATTGGACGCAATATGAGATCCCCAATATGTTGATCGACATGCCAATCACGTGACAAAAAGAAAGAACTCCAGCTTTCTGGAAGCGCAACCAAATGAAAAACTGGAGTGTGTATTGACGTATACCTTGCACAGCAAATGTCGCCGTGAGCAAGCGGTCGCAATAAGCCTTACGTAACGACGGCACCGCGTGTCCGAACTTTTCCACCGCTCTCGCAGCACGGCCACCCACTGCCGCTCTCCGTGTGTGGCAACGACGGTGTCACATTCTCGGCATGATGGGTCGTCCCTTCGGCACGTGCTGTCACTGGCACAGCTGTCACTGTTCGTGAGAACGCCCAACAATAGGGGCGGCAATGGAAGAGGGACTATCTATAGCAATGGTCCAGCTCTATGTGTACGGTGTGTTTATATATAGCTGGCTCTTTTGTGGGGGCTGTCGCAGCCCGCAAGTGGCATGTGTGAATGTGGGTAGGACGACATGGTAACACATGCACATTCAGAACCTGCAATCGGTTACAACTTTTCATAACTAATTTTGGTGACGCTCATCAATATTTTGCTGGTTTAAAATCGCCAAAACAACAATTTCTGATATCATGAACAGCCACACACTGAAGTTTGTGAAAGCTTGATCAGGAGGATATCTACTAATCCATCTGTACCCAAATCTTGATTTCATATTACCCTTCGACGGCTTTTTATTCTTTTTTCATAATTGGGAAGACGGCGTTTTTATTTGTTTCCCATTTTCATTCAGTTATACGTTTACAATTCTTTGCAAATTAGGTAATCTAGATTACCTATAATTTTGAATCTGGTTACCTAATCATCTAATGGCGATCCCTTCTCTTATCTTTGACTCCCTCCCGCTTATAAAGTATGAAAAGAATTGGTCCAACAACTAAGCCCTGGGGTATAACGTGTAACATGCTATTGCAGCATTAAAAGGAGAAAAGGCAGGGCAAATGGTGACAACTTGCCTGCTTGCATTTCTGTTGGGTCCTTTTCGCACATAAGCTATTATATTTATAACGCACTAACAACGTGAAAAGCAGAATTTTAGGCACGGTTGCCGAAAAATGTGGTCCCCGAAGTCCCGCATGCTAGGACTCCTAGGACCACAGACGCTCCCCGACGAGGAATCGAACCCCGGTCTCCCACACATCAGGCGGGTGTATTCACCACTGTACTATCGAGGATCACGGTTCTTCATATGGTCAGACACATACATATCACGGTAATCAAGAGCTTGCCTATCAATTGGATGACGAAACTCGCGTCAAGCAGGTAATAACGCCACATCGTTCACACAATCTGTAACCCTTGAACGCTTATCAAATGATTTGCCCCTCTCAGCCGTTATTGGACAATACCAGCCTTATCGTGCACCTAACGTGCCGACTCGAGTTCTCCGGGGCTAGTTACAGGAAAGGATTTCTTTCCCAGCTATCTAAATCATCCCACAAAGCTCTTTCAGGACTAACGTCTGCTCCCCAACGTCGTTTCCTTCACCCCGGACAATGTTAGGCAAATGCCTTCCCCTTCCCGACATCATCCTCCATGGTCCTGGAAAATCAGGACCATGGAACCGGAGTATACCCTTCAGGGCATCTTTAGCCGTTTGAAAACGGAGTCAGTGACGGTCGTTCTGTTGACGGCACGACGGCAGAATGTCTAGAATGGGTTACACGTTTTACTCGCCTCGCCACTGTAACCCATCAGCATGACAGATCTCGGAGGCTGGGTGTTCAGGAAACACATTTCCCGTACATTGACACCTCACAGGCGTGTGGAGCCACGGAAACAGCCAGGCTAACTCACACACATTAATGGCGTTAAAATTCATAAACCAGCTTCCCATGACTAAATGCCCATACAAGAACACACTTGGTGGCGCTAGCCCAGCCGAGGCAAACGCATAACTGTACTGCCTATTATGAAGCCTAACTGGCGCCATTAGTGCGTTGATGCCTCAGTAAATTGCTTCCTTTCGGACATCCTTGCCTTGAGAACGGTAAACACCTCGGAACTCTGGTTCGGCGGGATGCAAAAAGGTCTTCAACGGACCTCACCACTATGATGCCTGGCGACATCTTCAGAATTCCCACCGCTTACAGGCTCTCGAATTCGACGTCAAATCTGGGAGGTCCATATACATGAAAGTCGGGGAAGTTCGCTGAGGGTGAACTATCCTATAAAGGCGCCCCCGAGGGCCAGTGAGTGCTGCTCGTTTGGAGCATGTCTCGCAGGAAGTGTTGCCCGTTCCAGGCGGGGTCGTGCCGGCGGCCGACGCCGCACCGACCGGGGTCTCTCACGCTGCCCGTGGAGTGGCGATGCCAGTTCCCACACCGGCCGGCGTGCGGTCACCAATGGTTCCACGGGTCACCACGAGTGGTGCTGCGGGTCATCACCGCTACTATCCGGAGGCGTCAGCTACTCGGCTTTGTGGGAGCACATCCCTTCTGTACACATTCAGTCCACTCGCTACAACAGCTGAGTGAAGTGGAACATATGTATCAAAACAGAGACATCTGTAGGTACACCTTTGTACAGAGGTCTGTGACAAAAACAAACTGAATTCACGAAACCTGGTTCCGACTGTTCTTAAAATGTGATGAGACAAGAGTGAAGAGAATGTGTAGAACGAATACTCATCCTATTTCATCACGGGGTCCATTGAAGCATTGAGATAACTAGTTATCCGCATTCGTCATCCTCAGTCCCAAGTCTCACCACTATCTGACATCACGTGGTCTACATAGATCAGTGTGACCACTGACCAGTGAGGACCGTATGGACAGTGAAAGGAAGCGTCAACAGTCCATCATACCACTTAGAGAGCGTGACGCCTCCCTTGAGCAGCTCAGAGGCTCACCTAATCGGCAAATACACAAGACACCATCGACACACTCCCAGCTCACCCGTATCCAACAATCACCAGGTCCACCCTGCAACCAACTCTGATCGCCACGCCGGCTGCCACGCGCGTCACCGGCACCGTCACGTGCGCTGGCCGGCGCGTGACTGCGTGACGACGTGACGCGTGACGGCGCCGGCCGGCGTGGTTTCGGCACGGCACGCTAATGGCTGGGTCGACGGGCGGAGCTGACCCCGGCCGGGGCTGTTACCGACCAGTGCAGTCGTCAAAGCTGAACTGCCGCCGTCCAGCCGAGCGGAGTAGGTGATTACGGCCCGGTCCGGCTAAATTTAAACCCATTTCGAGCCGTCCCGCAGGTCAACGATGACGATTGTTCGTGCCTTTCCCAATCAAGGCTAAAAGTGGATTAAGTTTGTGATTTTTTATCGTGCAACTATCACGGTTCTGTAAAATATTTGCATGCAGCGATAAAGAACGTCAACCTTTTAGCTAGTTGGCTATGCGCATCGCCATCGATGTCGCTTTGTAGTCCAATAAAAGCAATGAACATTCTATGCTCGTATTCCTTTCAATCAGACGGCTGCCCGGCGGCAGGGTCGATGAGATTCATAAAGCTGGCCAGGGAGGTTTGCAGATTTGGCCAGGAAGGTCTGCAGCCGCACGGGAGCTCATCCGCTGCCGCACAGTCCGCGGACTGAGACGGTCAACGGCTGCGTAACGTCCGCTGCGGGCGACGTCCGCTCACGTGCGCTCACGCTCCCCTCACGAGTCCTGATAAAGAAGAGAAGTTCGGATATTGTCCGTCTCGTGGGCAGCGTTCACCGCTCCCATCACCATCCGGCTATACTGTTGCTCTTTAGACTATTTAGCGCAGTGTTGCTGTCCTCTAGTCAGAAAGGTACGCGAGCGTAACTCTTCACGCCGGCCGCGGACAGCGGGTTCCAAGGCCGTCGTATGAACGCCGCACATCCAGACACCTGTTGTTTTATGTGCTGGGTGGCATAACACGCTCTCAATGCAACAGACTAGCCGTTGCCTCAAGAGCGGCAAAATGACTCTCACCTGGTAGGGCAAGCGGAACGGAGCGGCACGTGACCGAGTCACTTTCTACTGGGGGCGGGGCCGTCAATAGGTGATTGTTTGGAAAATACACGCGTCAAGTGTCCACGAGTCACGACCACTAACGGCGATGGAGATGTATGAAACATTTACTGCACACGTGCCAGTGGCAACACCCGAAGTCAAAGATATTACCCAATTTATAGTTGACTCGAGGCTGCAGCGGCCAGCGGTGTGCAAAAGTGAACCAACCCCGCCCTTTTCAACTGGGGACAAGTCTCAATAAACAAGACAGTTTCTAGAACAGAGCATTCATCCCCAGCACAAGGAAGTTGCAACATGTCCGTCCTAACGCTTTCCGCCTCAATCGCTTTTCTCGCAAAGGACAATAGCCAGCAGAACAATTGACAACGCCATTAATGCAACCCCCAGCATTAACTACAACGGCTTGAAGTGACCGCCGTCCGACACTAGCCCACGGTCGCGCAGATACGGGCACACTCCCCGAGCCCTGAAAGGAATTGGGCGGTAACCATTCCGTCCCCTGTCGCTCACGACCCAGCCATCACCAGCAGCTGAGGCCGCTGGCGCCGCGGCCCTCCCCCTGTCGGCCCAGCTGAGCTCTGACAGCCGCGTCAGGGTCACTCGGGGTCGGGCGAGGGTGGACGTTACCGAGGCCCAGGGCAGCAGACGAGAGGTCGCCTCTGCCGAGGTCGACCTTGACGCGCCGAGTTATGGGGTGGTCGGGCGGTCGGCACTGCTCAGAGGCCAGAGAAGACACGATCGGTGATCGGTGCAGACTCATTGAGAGCCGATTTGGAGGGCAGAGAGGATGTTTTACGCGTGCGAGGTAAGGAAGAGTCACGGCTCACGAACTGAGATCGTGAGAGGCGGAAATAGCGGCGGAGATACCGGGAACAACAAAGGAAGCTGTTTCACTGGGAACCTTGGAATCTAGCTCAAAGGCATTGGAATATTCAGATCGCACATATTACATTTTATTTATAAAGATAAAATAAACGATGATTTCCTAACTTTTCATATTTTTTTTTTGTTAGGTATCCAACATGCTTTGTTCCTTTTTATCTATGAATGGATAGAGCGATATAAGATATAAGTCTACAATTGATCTGTCAACTGAAAATGCAATACTCATATCCTATCGCGCTCAGGCGATTAAAATGGGAGTACTGAGTGTCACCTGACACCACCAGATTCACGAGTGCTGACCTCCAAATTATGCAAACTAAATTCACAGGGGTCACCCACACTGTCAGCTGCGTAGTCAGAACTTAATGAGGCTGACTTTATGAATCTCATTCAGGTGTTTCTCACGTCAAAACATCGTACAATCCGCACGAAATGATCATCACACCGCCCACGCTTATCAATACAATTCCCACCGAGCGGCGTACGTGATCTGCTTGCAGTGAAGGATGCCCGGCATAAAACTAACCTTTTAATGTTGGAATATGGCCGACCGTTTCGCATTATTGGCTGTCAGGGGCACGAAATCGAGGCCACTCTCCGTCGGTTCCCTGGGAACTGCGGGGGCGGCGGGGGAGGAAACGACGGTACTGATCTCTAAGAATTTTTGCTCAGGACAGCGAGGGGACGAGGGGTAGTAGGGACTAGGGAGATACAGGGAGGCAAACCCAAGGTAAGGGCGAGCTCCACCGTACCGTCCGTCTGCCAGCTCCCCTGCCGTGCAGAACGGTCTGCCTCGGGGAGAAGAATCCATCCCCCACTGCACGGACCGTCCAACTCCCAAGGTCCCCACGACTGCGCGAGGGGGCGTAAGGGGCGGTCACGTGATCTGGTCACGATCACGTGATTCGAACATCACTGGACACAATAGGACTGCAGCAGGCGAACGCCTTAGCTGAAGGTTTATAGATCACGATACCGCTGAATCCTGTTACGGTTATCTCCCGACTCGAGCGGCTTCTTCCGCAAACGTCATTGGCTTGCGACTAAGAATCTCAGAGAAAAGGATTCCAAGCAAGTGGTCACATTTTTCGCTTCGCTAAACAAACCTTAAACGAGCTTGCAGCAGGTTCTGTCGGTTTTCACTAGCCTTTACTCAACAACATGTGGACAGCTGAAATCGCATCCTTCTCAATCTTGCCCAGAGACGTTTTCTCGTCCACCTCATTGGCTTTGGCCTCAGACAAGGGATTAGTTCCCCTGACTGCCGTTGGATGGCAGCACTGCAGCCAGCGGCACCGACCGGCCATCCCGCTCGGAGTCAGCCGGTCAGCC